CTGAATTTGCTTCTTACTAGCTTTCTGAACTTGAGCAAATTACCATTCCTTTTCAATAGTTTTCTCTGTCACATAATAGGTATCTATCCCATGGGGTTATTTGAGAATTTAATGAAGAGTGTGGTAAGACTTAAATTAATTCTTACTTAGATGTTTGGTGTCAGATGCTGGTGAACAGTCTGGACTTGGAGTTTTCTTTGTGGTAAAATTTTTATTTATGCATTTTTTGGTTATTATTTATTTATTTATTTTATTTATGCATTTTATTTTTAAAAAGTTTAGGACTACTTAGACTTTCAGTTTCTGCTTGTGTCAGTTTTGGTTAGTTTTATTTTTCCAGGAATTTGTCCATTTCATCTAAAATTTCAAAGTTAGTCTTTATAATATTCCTTTGCATTTTTTAGTGCCTGTAGGATCTACAGTAATCTCCTTATGTCATTGAAATTTTTATCTTCTTTATTTTTCTTAATAGCTTCATCAGGGGTGTATCAGTTTTATTAATCTCTTCAGAGAATCATCTCTTGATGTTGTTAATTCCCCCTGCTTTGTTTGTTTTCTGCTTTATTAACTTTTACTCTTTTCAGGAATTAATTTGTTCTTTATCTAGTTTTTGCAATGGATACTTAGCTTACTGATTTTTAGCTTTTCCATACATTTCCCTCTAAATATGGATTTAGCTGCATTTCATGTTTTGAAATGCATTTTTATTATTCAGTTCAAAATACTTTCTAATTTCCATTGTGTGTTTTTTGATTCATAGATTATTTAGAAGTCTGTTGCTTAACTTTCAAGTATAGTTACTTTTAGATATCTTTTTAGTTATATTTAATTTATGACTATTAGAGTGCTTTATATATTAAAAACACTTCATAGGAAATGTCAGATATATGCAAAATTGGAAATAATACTTTAAAAGCCATTCAGGTATCTATCTGTTCAATTCTATCTCAGTCGTGTCTGACTCTTTGCGACCTCATGGACTGCAGCACGCCAGGCCTCCCTGTCCATCACCAACTCCCGAGTTTACTCAAACTCATGTCCATTGAATCGGTGATGCCATCCAACCATCTCATCCTCTGTCATCCCAGTCTCCTCCCGCCTTCAATCTTTCCCAGCATCAGGGTCTTTTCAAATGAATCAGTTCTTCACATCAGGTGCCCAAAGTATTGGAGTTTCAGCTTCAGCATCAGTCCTTCCAATGGATATTCAGGACTGATCTCCTTTATAATGGACTGGTTGGATCTCCTTGCAGTTCAAGGGACTCTCAAGAGTCTTCTCCAACACCACAGTTCAAAAGCATCAATTCTTTGGCACTCAACTTTCTTTATAGTCCAACTCTCACATCCATGTATGACTACTGGAAAAACCAAAGCTTTGACTAGGTGGACCTTTGTTGATGAAGTAGTGTCTCTGCGTTATATTATGCTGCCTAGGTTGGTCATAACTTTTCTTCCAAGGAGCAAGTGTCTTAATTTCATGGCTTCAGTCACCATCTGCAGTGATTTTGGAGCCAAAAAAAAAAAAAAGTCCGCTACTGTTTCCCCTGTTCCCCATCTATTTGCCATGAAGTGATGGCACTGGATGCCATGATCTTAGTTTTCTGAATGTTGAGTTTTAAGCCCACTTTTTCACTCTTCTCTTTCACTTTCATCAAGAGGCTCTTTAGTTCTTCTTTGCTTTCTGCCATAAGTGTGGTGTCATCTGCATATCTGGGGTTATTGATATTTCTCCCAGAAATCTCGATTCCAGCTTGTGTTTCATCCAGCCTGGCATTTTGCTTGATGTACTCTGCATATAAGTTAGATAAGCAGGGTGACAATATACAGCCTTGATGTACTCCTTTCCCAGTTTGGAGCCAGTCTGTTGTTCCATGTTCAGTTGTAACTGTTGCTTCTTGACCTGCATACAGATTTCTTAGGAGGGAGGTCAGGTGGTCTGGTGTTCCTATCTCTTTAAGAATTTTCCACAATTTGTTGTGATACACACAGTCAAGGGCTTTGGCATAGTCTAAAGCAGAAGTAGATGTTTTTTTGGAACTCTCTTGCTTTTTTAGTGACCCATCGGATGTTGGCAATTTGATCTCTGCTTCCTCTGCCTTTTCTAAATCCAGCTTGAACATCTGGAAGTTCTCGGTTCATGTATTGCTGAAGCCTGGCTTGGAGAATTTTGAGCATTACTTTACTAGTGTGTGAGATGAGTGCAGTTGTGTGGTAGTTGGAGCATTCTTTGGCATTGCCTTTCTTTGGGATTGGAATGAAAACTGACCTTTTCCAGTCCTGTGGCCACTGCTGAGTTTTCCAGATTTGCTGGCATATTGAGTGCAGCCCTTTCACAGCATCATCTTTTAGGATTTGAAATAGCTCAACAGGAATTCTATCACCTCCACTAGCTTTGTTTATAGTGATGCTTCCTAAGGCCCACTTTACTTTGCATTCCGGGATGTCTGGCTCTAGGTAAGTGATCACACCATCATGATTATCTGGGTTGTGAAGATCTTTATTGTACAGTTCTTCTGTGTATTCTTGCCACTTCTTATTAATATCTTCTGCTTCTATTAGGTCTATACCATTTCTGTCCTTTTTTGAGCCCATCTTTGCATGAGATGTTCCCTTGGTATCTCTTATTTTCTTGAGGAGATCTCTAGTCTTTTCCATTCTATTGTTTTCTTCTGTTTCTTTGCATTGATTACTGAGGAAGGCTTCTATAAGCTTCAACTATTTTTAACTCTGGACTACTTCAATTCATTTCTAATCTCTCATTATGCAACTCTCACCAGATTATTTTGAAGTGAATCTTCAGATAACTGAGTTACCATTCTCAGATAACAACTGAGGTAACAGATAATCTCAGATAACATTTTTCTATAACTACTTCAGTATGTACCTATACAAGATAACATTAAAAAATAATTACAATGCCAGATCCTATGCAGAATAATTCCTTGATGATCTGGTCAGTTTCCAAATTTTCTCCATTGTCTCCTAATTTTTTTTACAGTTTAATTTTTTTGAAAATGGGATCCAAATTAAGTTCCAAATATTGTTCTTGTTGATATGTTTAAGTCTTTTTAATCTATTAATAAATATTCCCTTGGCATGTCTCTTTTCCAGCCCTTGCTGTTTATTTTAGAAGAAACTTGGTGTTGTGTAGCATTTCCCATAATTTTAATTTTGCTAATTGCTCTTGATCAGTGTGTTCCTCTACCCCTGTATTTACTATTTTCCATTAGAGATTTGATGAAACTCAGATTTGTTATTTTTTGTTTTGTTTAATTGGTCAAGATAATGGTGGTGTGAAATTTCCTCAGTAATCACAGGGCGTGTGGTCATTTCCTTATCATGATTACCTTGGTTCATGAATTCATGAGGGAGTTGAAAATGGTGATGTTCTGTTCTTTCTTCATTTATTACTTGGGCTATTCATTTAAAGAGAAAGTTCCCCTCTTCCATTTGGATACTCTCAGTTACGGTTTATATAGGAAAAACAGATAAATGCTTGATTGTTTCTCTTCAATTACTAGTTTTCAAAATAAGTTGGTTCTTTGCATTCTTCAGTGATCAGCAGTGAGGCATTTAAAAACTACCATTATGAACTAATGTGTTTCAGTTTAGTTACATTTATTATCTGTGTTAATATTCACAGTGTCCCATCTTTGGCCAATGGACCCTTTTCCTAGTGTCTCTTGAATCCTTTTGATATAACCCCTAATTCTGTGAGGCTTTCTTGTTTTCTTGTGTGCATGATGTTCCAGGCTTATCTTGTAGAATTCCTGCCATTCTTCCTCAGCTTGCCTGCCTTATCTTAGTTCCTTGTATGTTTAGTCACTCAGTCATGTCTGACTCTTTGCAACCCAATGGACTATAGCCCACTAGGCTCCTTTGTCCATGGGAATTCTCCAGGCAAGAAAGAATGCTGGAGTGGGTTGCCATGCTCTCCTCCAGTGGATCTTCCCAAGGCAGGGATCGAACCCAGGTCTCCTGCATTGCAGGCAGATTCCTTACCATCTGAACCACCAGGGAAGCATCTTGGTTCCTTAACCAGGGATTATTAAACTCATGCCCTTGGCAGAGAAAGCTGGGAGTCCCAGCCACTGGACCACTAGGGAATTCCCCTTACTTTGTTTTAATAAAAATTGTCATTTAGAGACAGCAGTATGTGCATTAAGTGAGTTCATTGCTGCTAGTTTGGTCCAGTGGGTTGCCACTTCCTTCTCCAGGAGATCTTCCCAACCCAGGGATTGAACCCAGGTCTCCCGCATTGTAGGCTTTACCGCTTTACCGTCTGAGGCACCAGGGAAGTCTCTTTCAGTGGTCAGATGTAGGTAATACATGTATAGTTTTAAAAAATAAAATACATCACTAATTTATATTATACTTCATTCAGATTCAGAGCCACAGTGTTTTTGCTTAACCTTAGTCTTAACAGCTGTATTGCCTTTCTCTCTTACTTAAGAACCCAGTTTTCAATGACACCAACAAAATTACTTATTTGATGTTAAAACACACACACACACACACGCACACACACACCGGCTCAGAATAACATACTGCTCCTGTCTAGGTATACACACGTGCACGTGCGCACACACACGCACACACAAACACGCTCAGAATAACATACCTGCTCCTGACTAGGTAGTGTGCTTTGAAATTCAACTTTTACACCCTAATTCTACAAACTGTTGAAGGTGCTGCCTGTCTCCTCAGACCTTTCTTTTGGGATTGAATGTCTCACAAGAAGAGTGGTTACAAAAGCCAGCCTCTTCTCACTAGATCTACCTTGTTAGATATTAGACTGGTAGATCTTCAGTATCGTTCTTGTGCTCCGATGCCTTTGAGTAGCGTTTTAAAATGTTTTGTGCATCTTTTCTAGTTGTTTTCAGTAAGACAGTGGTCTGAATTATCTGCCATTATCAGAAATGAAAGTCCCCTTACCTCTTAAACGTTAAACATTGTATTTATATCATATTTGTGACCACAATATTTGGTTTTATTTCAAAGGTTCTGAAACAAAAACACCTGGATGACTGTCTACGACATATATCTGTAAGAAGATTTGAATCATTTAATCTGTTTTCAGTAACAGAAGTCAAAAAATTGGAAACTGAAGAGGAAGCTGGTGCCTGGGTCCAATATACGAGCATCTTCTATCCTGAATACAGTATTTTCTTAAGGTAAACATCACTCCAGTTAAGATTTTTTTTTAAGCATTTTTCTCTTGTAAAAGGAAAACAATCTACTAAGAATCGAATTGTTCATTCTATTGAATTTGCGAGCAGTCTTTATCAGAATTTAAGTTTTATAACTTTGTGTTTGGAAATGCTGCTTTAACTGGGTCTTGCTGTGTTCTCAGAACTAAAGAAAAAAACATTCCAAGGAATGTATTGGCATTTGAAGATAAAATTCAAATCAAAGAGCTCTTTTAACCATTCTCTCATAACATTTGATATGAAAAAAAGCCAAGTTCTTCTTGAGGCTGAAAGTGAAAACAGACTTTTTCCAAACTACTCCAAGTAGTAGTTATTTGAAAAATCAAGCTTTGGTATTTTTCCTATTCATGTTTTGTCACTTTCAGAAGAATCTTAAAAATAGGAGGAGAAAATTCAGCTGAAAACAGTGATAGTGTGAAAAGCATACAGAGTGTTCTGGTTTTAAAAATCATTAGAAAAGAGTTAAGAGAGTTGCAGACTGAGGTAACGAGATACCATTTTTACAGAATTAATTTTTCTCTCACAGTTATAGTCTAACATGTTGCAACATTACTTCAGGTGTTTGATTTTTATAAAATCTGCCTTTTTTTGACAAGATTACACATTTTGAAAGGAAGGGAGAAGCACATTTACAGTAATTGTAGAAAGAGCAAAAAGCATTTTAAGTGGAAATATGTCTGAATACAGTTTAGGTGAGTTTAGGAATAATTTTAAGAAAAATGTTTTCACAAAGGATGTCTATTTATAGTATATGTTTCTTGAACTATTTTTAGTTTAAGGTATCTAAGCTTTGAAAGCTACCGTAACAGCTGAATATTTAGGATTTGGATAAAAATTGATTAGGGTGGGCAGGGAAGTACAGTTAGGATCTGATTTTGTAATACTGCTTTACTGAAAACTCTAAATAGGGATAAAAACTTTGGGGTTTGTGTACATTCATTGTGAAGTTCTAATTAGAACACCTCAATTGCCTGGCATTTGTGATGGAGGCGATTAGTTTAGCCCTTGATTAGGAAGGAAAGAAAAGTGTATTAAATACTTACTGTATGCCAGGTATAGCACCCAATGCTTTGATGTATTCTAATTCATGTACTCCTTCCAATAACTCTGTGAAGCAGGAATGACGATTATTCAACAGTTGGAAGATAGAGTCTATAAGGATGTTAAAGAGAAGGAGAAACAGTAAGGTATAAACTTCTAAAACTTATCTTCTGCCTCCACTGTGATAAGAGGCAATAAGTGTAAACTGTGCCAAGAATAACTTCCTGACATCTTCAAGGCCCTGGTAAGACTTAGCCAGAGAAAATGTGAACTCTTCTGTTCTTAGGAGCTTTCAAAATAAGACATTGTTCTCTACTTGGAGAACACTTGGTGGAGATGACCTTGATATAGAAGCAAGACTCTTCTCTAGCAGCCTGGCTCTTTGTGATATAACCATTTTTGAAAGAATAAATATTTCTATGTAAGTATTATACTAAATCCTATAGAAAGATTCTTTATAGAAAGAAGACAGGTGGCTGAGCTAGAATTTTGGCACAATGGCTGCCAGGATTTTTTCTCTTTTTTTCAAACTAGCTGGTATCTCTCTACATCAGTAAACATATAGAATTCTAGAGCTGAATTATGATCTTAGAATAAAAATATATAATCATAGCAACATTAATAATGGCTGACAGTTGAGTGCCAGGCCACGTGACAAGCACTTTTGTGAGTGGTTTACATGTACTAGTTTATTTAATTCACACAGCATCTTATGGGTAAATGCTGTTTTTATCTTCATTTTACAGATGAGAATATAAATAAGTTGATTGGGGTCACACAGCCAGTAATTGATTGTGCCCCTATTCAAACACTGGTGGTCTGGTTTCTCACCTGTACTTTAAAAAATTTTTGTTTTGAATTAATTACAGACTCTTAGGAAGTTGCAGAAGTATACGAGGAGTTCCGTGGACCCTTCCCTCAGCTATCTCCATCAGTAACATCTTACATAATGATAATCATGGCTTGAGCTTTTAACTTCTGCACATCCTGCCTCTTGTAAGGCAATCTTGTGTTCATTTTCCAGATGAAGGGATTGAGATCTGTCACACATACAATTTCACAAGCAAATCATTCCCATTCCCATCTCCAGGGGGTCTTCCTGACTCAGGAATTGAACCAGGGTCTCCTGCATTGCAGGCAGATTCTTTACCAGCTGAGCTACCTAGGAAAGCGCATGTACCCTGTGAGTGTTCACTAAATAAAAACTTGTGATGGGAATGGTTTGCTTATGAAATTATATATGTGACAGATTGCCCTTGTATATGTAGGGTATCATAGGTACTTCTTTAAAACTTAGCAAGATTGGCAACTGAGGCAAGTGTGGATACTAAATTTATATTTAAAAAGTACAGTTTTAATGTTAGTAGTATTAACAGCAGGGGTGACTATTAAAACAGCTTTTGTTCTCTTGTATTTTATTTTGTATTTTAGAAGGAACTTTATATGTGTGTTGTGTTCAGTAGCTAAGTCATGTCTGACTCTTTGCAGCCCTGTGGCCTGCAGCACACCAGGCTTCCCTGTCCTTCACTATCTCCTGGAGTTTGCTCAGATTCATGTCCTATGAGTTGGTGATGCTAGCTAACCATCCTCTGCCACCCCCTTCCCTTTTTGCCTTCAATCTTTCCCAGTATTGGGATCTTTTCCAATGAGTCGGCTCTTTGAATCAGGTGACCAAGATACTGGAGCTTCAGCTTCAGCAAATCCTGAAAGATGATGCTGGTAAAAGTGCTGCACTCATTTTTTTAGTAAATTTGGAAAACTCAGCAGTGGCCACAGACCTGGAAAAGGTCAGTTTTCATTCCAATCCCAAAGAAAGTGAGTGTATTGTGCCAAAGAATGTTCAAACCATCAGAGAATTGTGCTCATTTCACATGCTGGTAAGGTTATGGTCAAAATCCTTTTTCAAGCTAGGCTTCAACAGTATGTGAACCGAGAACTTCCAGGAGTACAAGCTGGGTTTAGAAAAGGCAGAGGAACAAGAGATCAAATTGTCAACGTTAGTTGGCTTGTTAAGAAAGCAAGGGAATTCCAAAAAAACATCTACTTCTGCTTCATTGACTATGCAAAAGCCTTTGTCTGTGTGGATCACAACAAACTGCAGAAGGAACTTATAGCACCTTCAAAATGTGGTGCAGTGTATATAGAAAATAATTCATTGAGTCATGTTTTCATGAAGCTTAAATCACAGATATGGGCCAATTATAATCTAATTTTCTAGGTTATTTTAAACTCCAATCATGATTGTGTAGTTTGCTTGCATATACATGTATTCACAGTTTCAATAAATCAAAATGTTCTCTTGATATTTTTAAAATTTTCATATTTTAATGTAGAAATACTGTACAAATCTAGTTTCTTCTAACTAGTAGATGTAAGACTGAAAAAATAAGGCTTTAGCCATTTATTTTTGAAAGAGCTCCAAAGTAAGTTGCATCTAGAATCATGTTCTTTAAACCTTGTCCTTCTGAAAATCTTTGTTCTTATGCAGCCTTTGAGGACCCATTCCACTCTCTGGCTTACTTTTTCTAATTTTGGGGGACCACTTTTTTTTGTAATCAAAGTAAAAAGTAATCATTTTAACCACTTTGAATTGTGCAATTAGTGGTTTTTAGTACATTTACAATGTTGTGGAACCATCACCATTCTCTAATTTCAAAAGTTTTTCATCACCATGAAATGAAGCCCCATTCCTTTTACTAGTAACTCTCCATCTTACTCCTTCCTCTTCCTCCTGGCAACCACTTATCAACTTTCTATCTGTATAGATTTGCCTATTCTGGACACTTTATTTAAGTAGAATCATATGATATATGCCCTTTTATGTTTGGCTTCTTTCACTTAACATAATGTGTTTTGATTAATCTATGTTACAGCATGTATCAATACTCCATTCCTTTATTATGGCTGAATAATATTTCGGTATATGGATACGAACATATTTTGTCTATCCATTCATCAGTTGATGAACATTTGGGTAATTTCTACTTTTTAGCTATTATGAATAATGCTACTGAGAGACTGACTTGGTGACCCAGTGGTTAAGAATCTGCCTGCCAGTGCAGGGAGCTCAGGTTTAGTCAGGGAGCTGAGAGCCCCCATGATTGAGAGCAGCTAAGGCCATGCACCGTAACTAACGAGCCCAGGCTCAGCCTGTGAGCCAAACTCCTGAACCCACACACCCAGTCCTGAAGCCCACATGCCCACATCCCATGCTCTGTAACAACAGAAGCCACCACAACGAGAAGACCGCCCACCACAACTAAAGTAACCCTTGCTCGCCACAACTAGAGAAAGCTTACATGTGGCAATGAAGACCCAGCATAGCCAGAAATAAAATAAAATTTTTTTTAAAAGTAGAGAAAAATAATGCTACTATGAACATTCATGTACAAGTTTTTATGTGAATCTATAATTTTTTAAATCTCATAGGTGTGTCCTGAGGGACAAGGTTACTAGGTCATATAGTGACTCTTTATTTAACTTTTTGAAGAATGGCCAAATTGTTTTCTGCAGTGGCTGTGCCATTTTACCTACTAGGAATATAAGAGAGTTCTAGTTTCTCCCCATGCATGCAAGCTCCTATGATTTTCCCTATATTATTATTATTTTTTTTATTATTACCATTCTAGTGTGAAGTGATATCTTACTGTTGTTTTGATTTGTAGTCCCCCAGTGGACTATGTTTTATGTTTTTTCATATGCACATTGGCCATTTGTATATCTTATTTTCAGAAAGGTCTCTTCAAGTCCTTTGCCCATTTTTATTAGAGTTGTTCTCTGTTGTTGAATTGTGAGAGTTCTTTATGTATTCTGGATACTTGAACCATATCAGATGTGTGATTTGCAAATAATTTGTCTCATCTTCTAGTTTATCTTTTCATTTTCTTGATAGTGTCCTTTGATGTATAGAAGTTTTCAGTTTTGTTCAAGTTCAGTGTATCTTTTTTTTTTTTTTTTCATTTATTGTTTGTGCTTTGTGGTGCCATACTTGGCCCTCATTTACTTTTAACCTCTAGTTTCAATCTCTTGTACCTTTATGAGTGAAAGTTGTTCAGTCATGTCTGACCCTTTTCAGCCCCATGGACTGTAGCCCGCCAGGCTCCTCTGTCCATGGAATTCTCCAGGAAAGAGCCCTGGAGTGGGTTGCCATTCCCTTCTCCAGGAGATCTTCCCAAATCAGGGATCGAACCCATGTCTTCTGCATTGTAGGTGGTTCTTTACCATCTGAGTCCCGAGGTAGGCTTCAAATTTTTCTCTGGTAGCTTTTTTTTTTTTACTCTTCAAATAAATGTTTGCCCCAATGACTTGCTCCTTATTTCTTACTCCATGGGCCATTCCTGGGAAATCAAAGGTCCTTAGTTCTAGCATAGCTTTAGGTGCTTGTAAAAAAGGTTGGTTGACCTTCAGAGGAAGAAATTGATTACTGGTATATTTTCTTTCAGCTTTATTGAGATATAATTGACATATATTGACATATATTTATTGAGATATAATTGACATATACCATTGTGTAAATTTAAGATATATACTGTGTTGACTTCAATCACTTATGTATTGCAAAATGATTAGCACCATACTATTACCTAACCACTCCTATCATTGTCACATAATTATCATTTCTTTTTTGTGGTTAAAGACCTAGGAAACAAGTTAAAGCTTTGGAATTTAGGAGAACCATGGAGTGAACTTTTTATATCTTGGCTATGTTAGCAAAAAGTCGTCATTGATATATAACATTAATTATCAGTGTAATGGAAAGATTGAAGTTTTAGAAGTTCCCTTTCGTCTTGAGAAGTTGAGAAGTTCCAATACAGTAGGTATTACTGTCCAACCCATTATCCAAGCAAAACTGTGTACCTGCTTAGGTAAACAGTTGAAAGATTAATGGTAGACAAGATCTTATATAGTTAACACTTGAATAAAATAGATATTATTGTTGTTGTTCGATTGCTAAGTCGTGTCTGACTCTTTGCAATCCTATAGACTATAGACTGCCAGACTTCTATGTCCATGGAGTTTTTCAGGGTTGCCATTTCTTTTTTCTGGGCATCTTCCTGACTCAGGTCTTGAACCTGCATCTCTTGTGTTAGCAGGAGGCTTCTGCACTCCTGAGCCACCAGGGAAGCCTGAATGAAGTAGATGATTCTGAACGAAGAACAGTCCTTGGGTTTGGAGCAAAGGAAAGGGAACTTGAAATAATCAAACTGAATATTTACCACACTGTGTCCATGGTAGTTTTCTTACAGTTAGCACTAATCTTTATACCATTGAGGACAATGATTGTTGACCTTTTTCTTTCAGGAGATGCCATCTTTTAAGGTTTCTCAACTTCATAAATAATTGCTTTTCTTCTTGTAAATTTCTGGAAGTATGAGATTAGTTCTCCTGTTTCCCTGTCCCTGATTCAATTTAATGCCATAGGGTTTACTTTCTGTTCTTGGCTTCAACAAATAAGGATTCTTGGCTTTCTGTTCTTGGCTTTCAAGTAGATGAGTTTTATGTCACTTTCTGTTTTGAATACTGCCTTTAACCTTTAAACATGCCCTTTACCTTAATTATCCCAGTTTCTGCTGTTTAGAAATATTTAACTTGTTGCAAAATATATGTACCTTTTTTTTTTTTACTCTTAGATTTCTTCTCAAATGTCTATTTCATTCTGATAGAGAGAGAGAGAAAGAAAGTGCATGAGAGAATCTCTTTATTAAAACTACACCATAAAGCAATTGTTCTTTTAGGTATTTATCCTAAGGAAATAATCAGAAAATATCTCAATGCTAATTCTACAAGGATGTTTGTTGAAGTAATATCCATAAAGCACAGTAGAGGGCATAATCTAAAAATCCAACGTAAGATGTTGGTTCGACAAATTGTGGTGCAATTATTTACTGGACTACTTGGCAGCCATTAAAATAATGTTGCAGGAGAATATTTAATAATGTGAGGAACTTTATAATATGTTAAATGAAAAAAGTACAAATTGCAAAATAGTATGGACAATGTGCTCTGCTATTTAATGACAGGTCTGTGAACATAGCATAAAATTTGAAGGCTATATAACAAACTATTAACTGTGGTTATCTCTGCATGATAGGATTATGGGCAATTTTTCCTTGAGGAAGCTATATATTGCTTTTATCTTCAGGAAAAAAAAAACTTGAGCTCTATGCTCTATTGCTGGTCATTTTAATAGCTTCATCTTGTGTTTTAGATGTTAAATGCTTTGTTCTTTTTTCTCTTCTGACATGTGTGCTATGGATTTTTTCCATGTTAGCGTAAATAACCTCTTCTAGAATCTTGCATCCACAGAGAAGACACAGAATCTTCGTACCAATGATGAAAGTTGGATTTGTGGTTGACAGCTTCATTGCCTTAGGTTATGATGCTGTTGAGGCCAGTAGTAATTGCAGGTAACTCTTTCTGCATTCTCCCTTGGTCACTCTTTGAAAGAACTAGGTCTCTGTGATAGAAATAAAAAGTTCTTCTGAGAAGGGTATTGCAGTTGACATGTATTTTCTTACTGTATCTATTATCTTACTGTATCTCTCTGGGGCTCCCAGAACAAAACACTGCAGTTTGGATGACTTTAGCAGCAGGTTTATCTGCTCACAGTTTGGAGCCTAGGAGCCTTAGATCTAGGTGTTGCAGGTTTGGTTTCATCCAAGGCCTCCTTGGCTTGCATGTGGCTGCGCTCTTGCTGCCTCTTCACGTGGTTGTCCCTCTGTGCACATGCCTTCTTGTCTCTGTGTGTGCTAATCTCCTTTTTGTGTAAGAACAAAAGTCATTTTGCATTAGGGCCCACCCTGATGGGGTTGCAAAGACTCGGACATGACAGAGCGACTGAACTGAACTGAACTGAATGACCCAATTTTAACCTGATTACCTCTTTGAAGGCCCAGTCTCCAACTTCAGTCACCTTCTGAGGGATGGGGGGTTTAGGGCTTCAGCATATGAATTTGGCAGGGGGCACAGTTCAGTCCATAACAGTATGCATCATTCATGATAAGTTTTAGTGACAAAGTAGTGTTGATAAAGTAAATTTTATTATGAATTATTAATGCTTATTGTAAACTATTATGATATCCCAAAGAACTACAGCTGTAAGTTATATAGGGGAACATGTAGAAGATTGTAGATATATTAGCAACAACTTTTTAAATCACCACTGGAAAAGTAACTCAAACTCTATGATCTATTGACAGTTGGGTTCATTTGTTTATGAAAAATAGTATCTTTTATAACTATTAGTAAAATAGCAGTTATCAAATATTTAAAGGGCCATCAAGTGAAGGGAGATGAAAAGGAACAAAATTAAGATCAGTGGGCAAGATATAAAACATTTGCCCCCTGGCACTTAGAACTCCCTATAAATGGAATGTGCAGACTTGAAAGTTGGTTAGTTCTTTGTGACTGAAGTTCTGAATTTGTTGGTCCATTAAAGAGGAAATTATGTGTTGTGGAGTGTGGTTATGGAGGTTGATTACTTTTTTTAGTTTTAGATTCTTGAAGTGTAGAGTTTTGTTGTCTCTAAAAAGGTAAATAATTTATCTCACACTTATATAATTAAAATAATAAAATACTTATTAGTACTTTAAAATGTAGATTAATCATCAAGAAATGTTATTGCATTAAATATCCCAAAGACTAGTCTGTTCTTTTCCTTCTCCCTCTAGTGGGCAGCTGGAGAAGGCAATGGCACCTCGCTCCAGTACTCTTGCCTGGAAAATCCCATGGACAGAGGAGCCTGGTAGGCTACAGTCCATGGGGTCTCGGAGGGTTGGACACGACTGAGTGACTTCACTTTCACTTTTCACTTTCATGCATTGGAGAAGGAAATGGCAGCCCACTCCAATGTTCTTGCCTGGAGAATCCCAGGGACGGGGGAGCCTGGTGGGCTGCCGTCTGCAGGGTCACACAGAGTCGGACACGACTGAAGTGACTTAGCAGCAGCAGCAGCAGCTAGTGGGCAGAAATACTGTAAAAGCACAACATGGAAAGGTTTGTTACTATTCAGTGTATCACAATACATAGTGTCAGCTTTAAATAATTAATAAATGTTAATATGTCAAGAGTCATTAAAGAACATGCTTTATTCCTTTCTAGGCATAATAGTGGATCTTTGAATGTTGAAGATGTTCTTACCAGCTTTGACAATACAGGAAATGTCTGTAAGTTATATACTTATAGAAATAATTTTAGTGTTTTAAAAGTCAATTTTTAATCTTTTTTTTTCAGTGTTTATTGACTAGCGTATGTCTGTGTGTATCATAGAAACTCCTGCTGTTTTTAGCTGCATTAATAAGCCTCATATAAGATGCACCTACTAAGTGGGATAAGGCAGTTAATTTTATACTTGGCAGTTTTGTGTGTGTGTGTAAGACCCACCTGCATTTGAATCTTGGTTCTGAAATTAATCTTGAGCAATTTATATTGTCTCCATGGCCTCATTCTTTTTCATCTCTCAGAACTGAATATAAAGTATATAAAGTGTGTAATGTACTACATCCCTCATAGTTGATACTCAGTAAATGAATTTTTTTTATTATTACCTGTGATGAGTACCTCTAAAGCTTTTTTTTTCTAACAATGAAGATAATATTATTAAGGATTATTCTGATGTAGTAAAATAAACTATTTTGATTGAACTAAATAGAGCAGAAGGAACACTGGATTCTCTAGTACTATCCATTTTGTTTCTTGTTTCCATTTTGACCTTTTCAGTTAATCAGTCCAACATAGGGGCTGTCTCTCCCTTTTTTGCTGTGTTTCAGGTGTGTGCATTTCCACTTCTTGCTTATTCTCTCTTTCACTGGAGAATAAACCCAGAACATTTTTCCTTGCTGCTAATATACTTTAATAGAATATTTTCGTTTTATTCTTTATTATAATACTATAGAATATATTATCTTTTGATCTTAGTCTTTAATTACATCATGATGGATTTCTCCACTGAGTAAATCATTTCATCATAATGTCATACAATGATAGAAGTCAAACAAGAATATCTTTATATCATGGTGTTGAACAATATACCATGATACAATCTGTGTACTTCTTTCTGTGTGCTGCATAGGCTATTTTCCTTAAGATAGTGGATTATCAATGAAATATGACCATTTTAAATGTAAAAATTATATTCTAGTGCTTTTCTTTTCAAACAAAAATTTATAACCGTAATCATTTATTGTCTGAACTAAAATAACATACTGAGCAAGAAGTACTCATTTTAGATCAGCAAAGAATAATGTCCAACAATACTCAGGCAATAATCTTGTTCTTATGCCCACGTTATAGCAAGCTTTTGATTGCTGAGAAAAGTATTTATGTATTTTGTTACTAAAAAATCTAAATATCCTAAAATTATCCTAAAATATTTAAAATAATGTAATTTTATTTTTTGTGGACAGTGATAGGCATACCTTTTAGTTTTTATATGCTGATGCTGGCTGAATTCTTTCCCAATATTATTACTGGGGGCGGAGCAAGGTCTGGGTTCAGTTCAGTTCAGTTCAGTTGCTTAGTCCTGTCCAACTCTTTGCAGCCCCATGGACCGCAGCACTACAGGCCTCCCTGTCCATCACCAGCTCCCGGAGCCTACCCAAACTCATATCCATTGAGTTGGTGATGCCATCTGACCATATCATCCTATGTCATCCCCTTCTCCTCCTGCCCTCAATCTTTCCCAGCATCAGGGTCTTTTCAAATGAGTCAGCTCTTCGCATCAGGTGGCCAAAGCATTGGAGTTTCAGCTTCAACATCAGTCCTTCCAGTGAACACCCAGGACTGATCTCCTTTAGGAGGGACTGGTTGGGTTTGGGTAAAGAATGCTAATGGTGGTTGAGATGTTCTCCTTTAGTTCTTTGATAATGTAAAGTATCATTAAGTCAGGCTTTGCTGTGCTTAGTTGCTTAGTTATGTCCGACTCTTTGTGACTCTATGAACTGTAGCTTGCCAGACTCCTCTGTCTATGGGAATTCTCCAGGCAAGAATACTGGAGTGGGTTGCCATGCCCTCTTCCAGGGGATCTTCCCAACCCAGGGATCGAACCCAGGTCTCCCGCATTGCAGGCGGATTCTTCACTGTCTGAGCCACCAGGGAAGCAGGTCAGGCTTACGCATGTGTAATTTAGGAACAAAGTCCTAAAATGCTATGTGTGAATTAAAAAAAATTTTTGTTTTTTGGCCATGCCACATGACATGCAGGATCTTAGTTCCCCAAGCAGGGGTGGAACCCTCACCTCTGCAGCAGAAGTGCAGAGTCTTAACCACTGGACTGCCAGGAAGTCCTGAATATGGATTTTTGGTTTGGTAATGTGAAAATCAAGTATTGTTCCCAGTGGCTCAGTATGAAATAGGGCCACTAGCTGGCAGCATTATGTAAAAAAATGTTTTTCCTTAAGGTCTAAGCTATTGTTTTGTTTATGAATGATATATAAATACTTCTCAAACATTTTTTCCCATCAACTTGTCTGCACCTACCCTCCTCCTCAAGTTGTTGTTGCATTGACAAGTGGAGCTTTGTATGATTAAGCTTTTTTTTTTTTTTCCCCACTGCTGCACATTGTTTGGTAGAAAGACTTGAATCTTTGGAATTAGAACCACTAGTTTCTTTGTTCTGAAATTAATCTCGAGCAGTTTATATTATCTCCAGGAGCCTCAGGTTTTTTCATCTCTTAGAACTGGATATCTAATGTATTGAAGTGTAAAACATACTACATCCCTCATAGTTGATACTCAGTAAATGAATCTGTTGTTACAGTGATGAGTACCTCTAAAGCTTTGCAGTTTTTTTTCTAATAATGAAGATAGTATTATCAAGGATTATCTTGATGTTGTAAAAGTAAAGTATTTTGATTGAACAAGGTGGGAAAAATAGATCAAATTACACAAATAGTAATTTACTAAAATGTTTTGTCATAAATATGGTCTTAAAAACCTGAATGTATTGCCTAAGTAATAATTCAGTAACTTCTAAGTAATAGAAGAGGTGATAAAAATAAAACTTATTAAAGCATGTTTCGCAGTGTTTATATTACTCTTTAAGAAAAATCTATAATGATATTTCAACTTAATGTAAAATTGGTAAAGTCCTATTAAAGTAAGTCTTGATTATAACTTTCATATAATTTTTGTCAAGGCTTAAAGTGATCAAGTTTTGAAAAAGTGGTTTTTCACTTGATGTCTCAAATATTTGATTGTATTGTAGTGGTGACATTAGGGGCTTCCCAGGTGACTCAGAGCTAAAGAATCTGCCTGCCAATGCAGGAGACATGGATTCAGTCCCTGGTTTGGGAGGATCCCCTGGAAGGAAATGGCATCCGACTCCAGTATTCCTGCCTGGAACATTCCACAGACAGAACAGCCTGGTGGGCTACAATCCACGGTGTCACCGAGTTGGACACCACTGAGCTACTCAGGCAGGCCCACTGAGATTAGATTACATTTGTGACAGGAAAGCCCAGCAGAGGGCGCTACAATCACAAGTCTATCTCACAACTCAATATAATTGGAATAAATAACTTGAATAGTAAGCCTAAGCTTTCATCGTGTAAACAGGAAAAATGTATGTTGAAAAGTTTATCTCTGATTTATTTCTTATATATTTAATATATTCAGCAATTCACTAATAAAAAAGATTTTCTTGACGTGTTTTGTGCATTTTTAAATTGTATCAGTTTAATTTTCATAATTCTAGCTTTAGATACAGGAATACTTTTGGCCTTGTTAATCTTTATAGAGAAATTTCTATACAGGAAAAACAGTTCCTAAATCATCACGGTGGTAGAACACTACTATCATGCTAAAGAATATTTGGGATGAGGAAAAAACGTTTTAAATATACCACGAGAGAGCCAGTAGATATAATTATCCATTTATTCAGGAATTAGTTTCTGGGTTAACATAACTTCCGGATAATATAAAAAAATAATTGAATTAAAGTACTTTATAGTTACAGCCCCCTGTATGTGTTTATATAAAACATACATATGAGAATATATACAAAATATATTTGTGTTTACTGGAACCATTAATCTCAATTTCCAGTTAACTTCAAAAACAAGTAATGCTTTTATTCATTATAAATTTTCAAAGAGCAGAGGATCAGTCTTACTGCTTGAAGTTGTTTGTGCTCTCATCAAAAAGATTTGGGAAAATCTTTAATTTTGGAAAGTAAATGAAACCTCTAGATATTTTCTTATTTGTTGATATATTAGAAAAGAAGGTATTCCTTTTGTTTGCCTCTATTATTTTAAATGTGTGACTTGCAAACTGTTTCATGTTTTTGAGATATCCTTTCAGTATTTGAATTCCTTTGAATGTTATAGGGAGAAATTAAAATGAATCTCACACAGTCTTCTCTGCATAATAATTCATTGCTCTTTAGGATATGACCCCAGTCTTATTTTTATATACTTATATTTGCTGTTGTTGAAAGTCAAACTTCTTTTTTGCTTACCTCTAACTAGGGATAGGTATACATATTTCGTCTTTGGGTCTGGTACTTGAGAACATACTTCTTTTTAAGGTATCAAAGCTACTTTGTGGAAAGGTCGTGTCTGCTATTGATTCATTGTGCCTGGAAAGAGATGCCATCAAGCTACCTAGGGATAAGTATAGGATGCATCCTTCACTTCAGACGAGGTGCTGGCTTCTTTTGTATTTCATGCAACATGTCACACAGATACCTTGGGTCACAGGAGAGTACTCTGTGGCAGATCTCTGGCTTCTGTTTTCTCTGCGGGCTGAGCCTCCTTTCCAGCCAGTCCCTGACCTCCAATCAAAGAAATCCCATCATGCCATATCTCTTCTGAAAGCACTTTCTCTTTCTCCACCTCATCTCTTTCCTCCACTGAAATGAATTTTTTTTTTTTTTTGAAATGAATTTTTTAAAAAAATGATTACCTTTAGCCCTTAATCCAAATTTTACTGCATAGTATATAGTACAACTGTTTGCTACCTGTAAAATGTCTTCAGTGCAGGGAATATAATTGCTTCATTTGAACTCTTTTTTTTAAAAAATCACGTTGTCCTTTTGACAGCATGAACAGAATATACAATTTATTGATACAATATATACAATATGTGTATAAACCATTAAAGGCATTGGAAGTCAATATTTACTGTATATTATTGCAATAATCTAGTGTGAATCAGGAGTCCTGGCTAGC